GTCCTTCGGATGAGACGTAAAACCGAGGTCCTGACTCTCTGTGGTCATTAAAAAATCCCAGGGTGTTTCTCAAAAAGAGGAGGGGTGTACCCTGGCGTCCTGGCCAAATTTCCCATTGGCCCTTACCAATCATGGCCTCCTAATAATCCCCATCTATGAATTGGCTTCATTACTCTGCTCTCCTCCCCACTGATAGCTGATGTGTGGGGAGCGTTCTGGCGCACTATGGCTGCCGTCGCATCATCCAGGTGGGGCTGCACAATGGTGGTGGTGGAGGGGAGTCCCCATTACCTGTAAAAGTGCTTTGAGTGGAGTCTCCAGAAAAGCACTATATATAAGTGTAAGCAATTATTATTATTATAAAAATGTGGCAACATTATATTATGTTTACAAACATTTTTGTGTACAAGATTTATTGTTAAGATTGGTGTCACAGTGGCACAGTGGTTGGCATTGCTGCTCTGCTGAGCTGAGGCCCTGAGTTTAATTCCTGGGGTGCTATCTGCATAGAACTTGTGTGTGCGTGGGTGTCCCGTGGGTGCTCTGGTTTCCTCACACAGTACAGTGTCCTGGTGTGTGTCCGTGTGTGCCTTGCGATGAAGTAGTGTCCACCTGTTGCTTGCTGGGATAGCCTCTGGGTCAGCAAATGGGTGGGTTGAAATAGGTTTGGTCTAAAATTGCCAAAGATCCCAGTGAGCACCAATTTATAAGGCGAGACCCTCTTTGTTTGCCAGAATTGATTGCAAACTTATAATGTGACCCTTTCAAGCTTCACAAAATATTTCTTAATTGTCTTCTTTGATCATTCTGAAAGCTTCTTTTCAAAACCTCGTTCATATTTGCCATACATCAACCTTCACACAACATTTGGGTTTTACTCTCTCTTTACTTCATTATTTAATTTACAGTTCATCTTAATCCGACTTATTTTTTAATAAAAATAGTGCTGGTAGAGCCTGCAGATAAGGTTATTGTTTTTATGTTCGTGTTGAATGAGTTATTAAATCCGTTTTTTAGGCTCATCTGCTCACATCTGCTTGGGTTTAAACTTTGCAAGCAGGTAATCACTTACAGGTGAGTGTTATTGCTGTTTGGTGATATAAATTGTGAACTGCTCTGTGCTGTTGAGTGCAGTTTCAGAGCCTGTTTTCCCAGATTGCAGGCACTTGATTACGTCGATAACAAAGGGGAAAAAAGCCACGTGGGTGTAAGCAAAAATTGGTTTTCACATAGTGATTGTAATATCTAATAGACTTAGAAAATAATTTTCCCTTTCTTCTGAACTGTTCCATTTATAACTGTAAAAACTCATTTTTGTGTTAGCTGACACCTTCAGGAAAATGCTGAATCCTACAGAGAACATCTTTTATTTTTCTAACAACTAAAACCCCTAGTGCTCCAGCTGCAATTCTCATTTGTTAATTATCAGTGGTAGGCAAAGACAAGTTATAACAAAACACAAATAATTACAGAAAAAAGGCATGAAATTTCAGCTGTTCTGTTTTGCTTTTCCTGGATTGTCTCATTACCCCTTTCTGATCTTCATCTGATTGTGCTCGTTTGCCCATATTCTTTGATGAAGGACAGGCCCTATATACAGTATAAGCTTCGCCTCAGTTGGAAGCTAAATGCTTTAATCTAGTTTACTGTTCACAACCTGAGAAGAAATCTTCATTGCATAGCCTGTGAAGAATGCATTACAATGCCTTCTAATTAAATTGACACACTTTCAAAATAAGGACTGGAGTATGCCAAGCACTGAATATGTTTTAAAAAAATATTTATCTGATTGTTTTTTGCACTGAAATATTGAGTGAGTCTTGCATGGTTCAAGTGATGTTTTGTTAGGTATATACTTGTATTCTGCAATTTTCTTGCTAATATTCCTATGCACTGCTCATGAAATGAATGATGAATGAATCGTGATGAAATGAATAGAATTTGTCTTCAAGGATAAAACAGTAGGTGGCATTTCTGCCATGATAACAGTGTACATGCTCTCTGTGTAATCTAGAGTTGTGTTGACATTATGCTATAGATGTGCTGACATTGACCTCATTGTGTGTAGCAAACGGACATAATCATAAATAAAGAAAGTCTTCTTTTCTGTGCATCTTACTTGTCTTCAGGTGCTAGAATTATGAATAGGAAGAAATACAGTATGTTAACACTGACAGTTTTCATGCTAGAAGACTTTAACAAGACATTTGTGTCAATGAGGCAAATCAAAGAAGATCTCAGAAAATTGATGAGCTGTCGTGAAAAATAGTAATCATTTTCTTGCTTACAGTATTCTTGCATTATCAGAGTCGGACCTTGAAGAAAACCTACTGAAATTGTCATGATCTGTATAGATGTACAGGTTTTGGACTCCGTTAGAAAAATCAAGCTTAAAGTGTCCCATGGCTGTCTAGTCCATGAAATCAACTTCAAACTTCATGTCATACGTCAATGGTATACCCTAGGCAAAACTGTGGAATTTAGCTTGAGTCATCCAGGCAGTGGGCATGCAGAGAAAGGAACAAGATGTTTTAAACTTGGAATCATTTTTCATTTTTTCAAGACATTATTAAATTGATTTTTACATGGTGAGTTGGGAAGTTGTTCCGTGCCTGTTATGGATAGGTGTTCATAATACAACTTAATCCATTACACAATGCGAATTTTGTGAGTCTTACTTTAGACTTTAAAGAAAAATAGCAATGCTTACCTTTCATGGTTTTCTCTGTATTTGAAATACTGAATTACATTTAGTGTAGTAAGTGAAGAGTGTGTTGTTTTCTTTAAAGAATACACATTATTTGGATAAATTCCTTTTAAATAATCCTCATAAAATCCAATCATTGTACCTTTGTTAGGTGACAGTTTAGGAAATACCCTCTGAGTATGGGATGTTTTTCTAGCATTGTCAATTATATTTTAAATACCTTTTCAATATAATTCAACAACACATGAAATAAATGATCTGTTATATACAGTATACCCACTAATTTAATGCTCTGTTAATTATTTTTTTCCACAACAAAGCACTTATTTGAATATGTTTTCTACATACTCTTTATATTTTACATAATGTCTGTAAAAGGTGTTGCAGTTGCTTCAGGTGTTATAAAAGCAAAGAGCACAAGCCAAAGTAAGGAAGAGAAGATTGAAAAAGCCATGTGGTTGAAAGACATTATGATAAGGATACTCACTTTACTAAGATAAATGGGCTAATTAACTCATGCGATAGCTTTCTTATATTTAAATTTGACATATCTCAAGATGTGAATAATATTGATCTTAATAATATTGATCTCAAGAAACTTGATCTTGGGAACAAGTAATCCATGTGAAGAAAATGAAAATTTACTTTCATAAACCATATGCAGAATGTATTAATTGATGAAGTATTTGAATAAAATGTGAAATGTAAGTTACACCAGCCCTTGTTTAGGGATCAGGATCACCTGTAAACTCTGCTTGAGGAACCAGAGTTGGCAAAAGGCAGGATAAAACTGACACCTGTCAAAAAATACACTGAAAATGTGGAACATTATTTGCTAGATATCAGCAATATAAAACCACAGTAAATTTACTATTTTTCTTTTGCAGTTGTTTTCAAACGTATTCAAACGTAGCTTTTCAATTCACTGTTATGGAGAAATCTTTTTCGATTTCTCAGCTTCTTTAGAAGCACTTGAAAATTCCTGTTTTAATTTCTTCAATATATAATTATAAAGGTCTTATTACTAAGCATTCTTTTGAGATAAGGGAAAAAAATAACTTTCAACATTCACTGAAATTTGGTTGCTTCAAATTTGTAGGGAGGGTTTTGAGGAGGAGTTTGCGGGTCATTTTTCTCTCAATTTTTGTGCAAAGGTTCCTCCCTGTCAAAGTAAATCTGCGAACACATCAAACAGCGGTAGACAACCGCAGCGAGTGTCTTGGTAAAATCAAGTGCGCTCGCTCGGTGTGTGAGCTATTCAAGCTCTGCCAAAGTTTGTTTTAAATCCTGAAAGAGGCTTCAACCTCACCTGCCTGTGACATATTTGACACCCCTGTTTTATATAAAACTCAGATAAATGAGAAAAGAATCAGGTAATTTCTTACTGTTGAGTTTTTAGTGTGCTATAATAGCCTGAGTATTCAATTAGAATTAAAAAAAAAAGTTATTTTTCAAAGAACATCAGATCTTTTATCACGGCGATTAATAATAATCAACCATCATGTCGCAGAAATTGACAAGGACATTAATATATATTTAAGAACACCTACATTACATAAGTCTGTAAATTGGCATTACCATTATTATTTGCATGTATAAAGTTATTACTTCATGCCATTACTAAAGTTATATTCAGTGAAACACAATTAATCTCCATTCACCTATTATTTGATCAGTTTAAAAACTATATTATAACATACAACTTTCATTTGTGTTTTGTACCATTCAATTACACTGTACATTATTTTTTTTAAAGGGTGGATGGGTGAGCCATGATTTCCTGGAATAGAACTTGACCAGTATTCTATTTGAGCTGATGAAAAGTATCTAGGAATTGTACACACGGCTTATTCAATGCAAATTTAGATCCTGATACTGTGTGAAACCAGGGTTTGTAAAAAATGGAACATTTGAGGAAATGCCAGTGGAATTTCGTATCGCTTTACGTCAAATCCATCCGTTTTAACCACTACAGGGTCATGGGGGAGCAGGACAAATCTCAGCAAGCGAGAGGCACAAGGCAGGGTACCCCCTCGGTGGGATGCCAGTCCATCACAGGGCAGACTCACAGACCAGTCACACTCACACCAGGGCCAATTTTTCTTTGGACTGTGGGAAGAAACTGGAGCACCCAGAGGAATCGCACATTAACACGGGGAGAATGCACAAATTAACCACCTTAGGAACTGAATCCAGCACCCCAGTGCTTCAAGACAGCAAAGCTAACCACTGTGCCACCATGCGGCTCCATCATGTCAAATACATGCATTACGTGTGTTTCTTTGAATTGCAGGGTCTCCTGACGTCAGGTGTGGAGTTTGAGTCCTTGCCTGCAGCCCTCTCTCTGCCTGCAGAGTCTGGCCTCTACCCAGTCACGCTGGTCGGGGTTCCACGGACAGCAGGGAACATAACAGTGAATGGTGAGCAACCCCCCCGTTGCCATTCAGGCACATCTTTATTACCTTAGACCTCGAAATGGACAAACCTCATGAGTGGGCAGAGTGGTTTGTTGTTGTTCATCGTCCAGGTTTGTGTTTTGCAGCAGCAGCAATATCGAATCTCGGCATTTCAGTTTCTAGAGAGAACTTACAGTGCCTTTCTACCCATGAACAGTGACGAGTAGACAAATCAGAAATGAAATATTTCTTCTTGCTTTCCCAAATTCATCCTTTTACTTCTGAGGCCTGAGAATGTCCTGTGTCGTGTCATGGGCTACATGACTAAAGAAACGGAGATAGCCTTTTTGATTTCTTGAATTAATTATCAAATAAAAGTCAGGTATCTTTATTCTTTGGCAGCATGTTGGGATATTAATTGAGAATTGCTTGAGAGTGCTTCAACTTTACAAAGCTGTTTTCAGCTGTATACTACAATAAGCTCCTCTGGCTCATTTGGTAGTTCAGTAGCTGAGTGAATCTAAAATTATATCTAGCTGTTTCTTAATGGTGCCCAGCCAGCACATGGCTGGAAGCCTGTTCCAGATACCACTACTATAAGAGTGAAGAAGTGTTTCCTGTTCCCTGTCTTAAATAAGTATTCCTTAAGTTTCCAATTGTGACCCTTTGTTTCTCTACTGAGTGTAAAACAGGCCCATTGGTTGAACCTTTATTAGTGCCAATTAAGATTGTGTTTACTTGGATCAAATATTCTCTTTACCTCTAGATGACTGAAGAATTTTAGCTCTGTCAGTCTGTCTGTATTTCTTTGTATATGACAAAATACTGTTTTTAAGCGAGAGTTACTTGGAGTTTTTGAAAAATGTTCATTAAAATCAGTGTCGGACGTATGGGGATGCAACATGAAACGCTTATATTTAGGAAATGCAGTTAGTTTTTTAAAAATAAAACAGTATGTGTTTCCCTTGGAAATTTTAGTTCTTTTTGCTTAGTTTGCAGTACCCTTGGCAGGACAGCCTGTTATACTTGTAGATTTGTATAAATACAGTAGCTGTAATGTAGACAATCTTGCAATGTTTTAATTCATTTGTTCCTCACAGTGAATACAGGGCAAAGTCTCTGTTAATGTAGAATGTCTGACACTGTCCTTCAGATTCAACGTTGTTGTTTCAAGCCCTAGGAATTCCGCTTTGTAAGTTATTTTTCAGATGAATTGATTGCTTGGATAGAGACAAAAGAACTTGCACATGCCCACTCGAAGCCTGACGCGGTTGTGTCTGACTCAAGAGTGCGTGGCAACAAGTGGGCCACTTAACCTTCTGTTTGCACTTTTTCCTCTCGCTCTGAGATTATGAACTGTAGTGACTGTGCCGCGTGTTTCGATTGTCATTAGAGAAGAGCGAGTCACAATAACCTCTCTGGGAGCCCTGAGAGAATCTATTCAGAGTGCTCTTATTTGAGATACATGGAATCGGAGGGCTTTTCTTCACTGAATGTGCTCAACACCCTACACCTAAGTTTAATAAGTTAAAACTATAAACAATTTATGCTAGCCTATGAAATGGTGTCTAGTGTCTGCAGCTGTTTTTTTAACTCAGTTTAAGTTGATTTTCATTGTTGAAAATTTAATAAATCTGTTTTTCTTGAATAGTAGAAAATTATGAAATAGCACTGCAATTGGACATGTTTAATAACTACAGTGTGTCATGCAGATAAATGGCATACTTTACTCAGTAGAATAACCATTTAGTGTGATTCTTAGATGTGTCAAGTTCCCCTGATGATACATTGTCTTTTTTGCATACTACTGCAGGTATCTAATTATTTCACTATATATTTTCAATCTGAATTACAATCGGGACTTCCAGTGACCTAGATTAGGTCAGGGCAAACAATTTATTCTGTTAACCCACCTACTTCCTTTGTCTGTCTTCCAACAACAGTGGGTATCAAAAGTATTCACCCCTCTTGAACTTTTTCACATTTTATTGTGTAGCAATATGAAATCAATATTTATTTAATCAGGATTTTCGTGAATGATTGGCATAGAACACTGTATAATGTCAATTTGAAAACAGAATTCTACAGATCCTCCTAAATATAAAACAGAAAGTAACTTGAGCCCATTAATATTCACCCCCTTTACCATGAGACTCATAAACATGCTCAGGTGTAACCCATTTCTTGGTTGAACGGACCACCAGAGTGCTATTAAGTGCTGTTAAGATCAGGGTTAACACATTTGTCTCTGGGCAGTGCAATAATTGATTAGTACAGCTTCCAACGAAAACAAAGGAATATTGAGAGCAAATCCGGTAAAGGGTTTTTGAAAAGCTGGGGGAAGGGGATAGGAGAATTTCCAAAGCATTGCATATTGTGGCTAACATTTATAATTATTTATAATTATTTTTATAATTCATGTAGGAGGAATCTGTAGAATTTTGTTTTCACTTTGACATTATGTAGTTTTTTGTATTAAACAGTGCCTAAAAATGTGTTGATAAAGGCAAAAAATTAAATGAGTTATGATGTAACACAAAGTCAGAGGGGAGGGAGGTAAATATGTCTAATAGCCACTGTAATGATGCATTTTGTTGTTTTGTATAGAATCTTGTTAATTCCTGTTACATGTATGAATATGTGTCACCATAGATTAATTGTAATCTACAATTGCTTGATTTCTGTCTGGAAGATGAATCAACAAATGTCAAAAGTTGCCTGTCTTTAATTAGGATTGTGTCAAAAACCATTGTAATGTGTGATGTCAGCCTATGTAGTTCTGATTCATTGATTGAATATGCATCTTGTTCTGCTTCTGGACAAAAAGAGCAACTGATTAATACCGGTTCTGTTGGTGGTGCTTGTGAAGTGAAAGGTATGTTCAAAAGCATGCAGTCCGTTCTGCTTTGCATTGCAAAGATGGTTAGGGAAACTCTTGAGAGTTTATGATGCAGCAGCTGTTTGTAAGCACACTCTAGTCACAGGAGTTTGTGCTGCTTCTTGATGGAGAGCAGGCGGAAATTGATTATGCTTAAGAAATGACTCCGTCCCGATCAAAACATGATGCGAGGCCTGATGCGAGACGAGCTTGTCCCTGAGCACATCCTGTAATTACCTGAAGAGGACTGTGATGATGACAAGGTATAATCCTCCACAGTGTCATGTTCACACTAAGGATTGCATCTGTGGGTTGAACAAGAGTGGAATAAATCTCTAGGGCTATGACATCCATGCAGTTTTGTAACTGTGGTGTGGCGACAGCGTAATCCACTTTCAGTCTCACTTGCTGACAGTCGGGACACTTGATATTCATGTATCCTTTACTTGTTCTCCTTGTGCTTTTATGCGGTCATCTTCCAAATTGCCACCATTTGAGCGTTTGAAAGGCTTCTTGTTTGTGGAACAGTAAACTCTAAAAGTGAGCAATGAGGGTTATGTAATGACCGGCATGCTTTGATCTTCCCATACACCTCAGTGAAAACCCTCCACTCTTGCATGTGGAATACATTGCTGTAACCAGAACAATCGAATTTCTCAGGCAACAGCCAAGGATAAGAAATGAAACTTGTTTATGTTTGAAAACAATTTGTAACATTCATATTGCAGTATATTGGGTTTTTAAATGTTTCTACCTGCTAGGTAATATTTTGACTTTGCATTGGAGTTGCAGCCTTTTTTATTTAAGAATTAAGAACAACAACGCAGGCTTACAGATCCAGTGGATTTCGAATTAGTATGATGATGCAGTGACTTATGAATCAGTGGTTGTCTTGATTTATGAATTGAGTATGAGTTTTCTGTGAAACATAAGGCTGTCTTAGAATATCGCACATCCAATTTAATACTCTTTACTTTTAAAATACTCATACTATATGTACTGTCTTTTTATACTGTTTATATTCTTTTGATATGCAGTATGTGACTATGCTCTCTTGTGTTTGGGTGCTGCACAAACACCTGCAAATTAAAAATTCCCTCATTTAAGGGAAATAATAACTTCAATACAGGTACCTCAAATATATTGCTTTAAAAACAAATCAGGTTATCTTTGCATTACCAGTTTGTTGAGCTGTGTATAGTATTCCAACAGTCATCTTATCTGCCAAAGTACAGGGGGTCCCATTGACATTTTAAGACTGTGGATTTAAAAATGATCTGACTACATTCAAAGGACCTAAACTCCACCCTAAAATGGAGTCCAGAGCATAAAATATGGCAATTTTGTAGTAAAATCATTACAAAATAGCACTGTACTATATGAAATCATTATAGATAAATATTTTGCTGTACACCTTTATAGCTGTATGCGTTTGAGATATTTATTTATTTTTTATGTCTTTTCTATGCTCCAGCTTTTTCCTTGTAACTGACAAAGATGATAAGTTAAATTAAGTTAAAGTATAAGTAATTTTACTCGGAATTTTACACGTTCAGTATTTTATCTATCTTGATGTAATATTATTCTGTACATACAGTAAGTTGAATTGAAAAGTATATTACTGTGTTGCTTTCATCTTCATGTGTTCTGTAGGAACACTATGCATTAATATTATTGACATTTTTACTTTTAAGGTAAATGTTTCAATGAGTTTAATTTAAAAAAAATGTTGTTCATCACTCACACACACACAAACAAACTCTCTCTCATACGAAATCTCTTTCATTCATTGTTAATTTCTAATTGAGAACCCAATGTTCAGAAAATGTGAATGCACATTACAGAAGTCATCGTCATGTTCTGGTCATTCTGGTTATTGCTGAAATACATCGATTCTTCTAAAAAAAAATGTTGAGCTGAAAATCTTGTGGGGAATGTTTACACCCTGTGGTCCCTGCTAATTCCCTGCTTACTGTAGCATTGATTCGCTTTATGGACCGGTTTTACAATCCCCATTAAGTATGTTAAACAGGGACCTACTGTATAAAGTTTTTTATTCCTAATCACAGTGATACATTTGTAGCACAGGAGCCAATGTTTTTAATCTGCAGTATTGTTAAGATACAAAATACTTTGTATTTACAAGATTACAAATACAAGATTTAAAATACACCCCAATTCCATGTTTCGATTCAGAACTTTTCCAGTGCTAATAACCTGATTCATGATTAATTACTTTAGTAACAAATCAATTGCTTAATTAACAAAAGTCAGATTGTTATCATAAATGCTCATAAATGTGTAATGAATACTTCAGTGTTAATAACTTCATGCATTCATGCAAAAGTGTAATTTGTACATCATATTGTACTTGAAGTCATTGAGATAATGACATGTTATATTGCACCCTGATTTTACACAAAGAAAGGGTTTTGCGATACAAAAGCAGGTACTTATGTAAAATTTAAATTTCTTCTTTCACATCTTCTTGAAAAGACAGAAACACACATCGGCTTTTTCCTCAGTGTCATGGAATGCTGATGAAACATACTGTATGTGGTGAAACATACAGTACATATGGAAATTTACAGATTGAGAGCTGTTCATTCAACAGAATCTGGATTGCACTGCAGTGTGGCCCCATACTGATCCAGTGCCTTTAAGGACACATGGCCAAAAAATGTGCTTACTATATACAGTATGAATGTATAGTTCATTTGATGGTGATTGTCAAACAAATTTGATTTTGACTGTTGAATAAAAGGTTCACAGCCAGGTATGCAGCATACCATTTTGCAGTGATGTGGAATTTGTGAACAGTTTGCGTGTCAATAAACGTGCTTGTTGCAGATGGTTTGATAGTCTGATGCGATAAGACCGTCCATTAAGAATATATCTATATCCGCTTTATTTATGAAACAAAACCCTTAATCTATCCCTTTGGGCAAAAAATAACAAAGTCATGGATGCTCACAGGAAATGATATCTGTTTTATATTATTCTGATATTCTTTATTTTACTGAGTCGCTCATATGCTGTGCATAATCTCATTCAAAAATCATATTAACCATAGAAGAGCAAACTAAGCACCGTTCTGAAGTATATTTTGGCACAATTTGTTGATTAATATCTCCTTCACCAAAGAGCTTACAATAACATGGGGCTTATTGGTGTATTCCCAGTGTGTGCCCTTTCTAATTCACAATTTAATTTCCTCGTCACCTTATGGTCTACTGATTATTATTGTGAGTAGACATAGCTTTGCTCAGCTCTTCTAATTTAATTTGATCAGGAGTCAAGGTGGTATGGCTACAGGCCTTTAATTTTCTTAATGCCAGTGCTAGTTTGTAATATCATTCGTGTGTTTGCTGATATCGCCGAAATTAAAACAAGGGTCCAGAGTGTATTGCATGAAAACACATAGAACGCTCTTCCATTTCCAAAGGATCTCTCCTGCAACGTGTCCTTCTTTCAATTCCTTGCAGTTCTCCAACTTGTCATTTGTTCTTACCGTTAGCTTGTGCCAAGATACTACATTGTCTTCTAAATGCACATGCACATCAAGTAAAGGAAGGATTCTGTGAGTTACCTGTAGTCAGTTGAATGATTCATTAATCCTTTCTTGTGTTCTCAGGTTACCACACGTCGGTGTTTGGGGTGACGAGTGACTGTCTCCTGGAGCATTTGGCTGGGGTGAAGACCAGCGGATGCACTGTGGAGGTGGTTCCTGCTCTGCCTCGGCTCCAGCTCGGCACCTCCCTGCCTCGGTAAGCCGGCCTGTGCCTTTGTTGCTGTAAGAGGCGTTAAATAGTGACGCGGTGTGGCTGAGAATTTCAGAAGATGGGCAGTAGTCTGGTGAAAGACAATTGTAGTTCCCCACAGTGTCAGGTGATTTCTGATGCACCTGGCCCATACCCACCTGCTTGGCAGGAGTTGATAAGATGCAGGATAGGGTACAAAGGTGATATTATTTGTGGACGGGGTAATTTATGGAAATCAGGTGTTATTCCCTAACCTGTACTGATTCCCACCTGTACAAATTGACAGAGAACATTTTCCCACCGTGATGCAGCTGTTGTTATGGACCTGGCTGGCCCAATGATGATAGGCCTCTACCTCATCACTTTAGATCTCACCAAATACCGGCACTGACAAATACCCCTATCACACTTACAAGGAGTTAGGCACCAAATATCTAACAAATGACCCAGCAGAACCCTTAAGACTTTTCATAACCTTTGACTTCAGGTGTTTTACAAATACGCATTAAACATTTGTAGAAATAAAACTGAACAACTGAAATATTGATCTAATGTGCATTCTACACTACAGTTATGAAATTCTTAATTTTAATAAAACATTTTAATAAATGTAATACATTTGAATAAAACAGGTCGCATACTATTATGTACAGCTTTTGACTTTGTCAGATAAAATCATTAAAGGACATTTACATAGTTTTCCATGTTTATAAATGTATGAGTAAAGCACATCATTGTCCTTTGGGCTTTATGACCTTGATGTTTATTAATCATAATTTCCCTATTTAGTCATTTGTTTGTATACTGCAATTCAAGGTAACAATGTAAAAATGTGGGACTGAATATTAACTCTGGTTTTGAGATGTTTGTTGACAGAACCATCTCAACAACTACTAGTTCTTCTTCATGGGGTATCTTAATTGACACTCACAGTAGCAGCCATACTGTATGTGAAAAATTAATATTCCCTTAATTCATCATGAAGGCTTGTTCTCAAAACACACTAACCCTGTAGGATGTTCCTTTTTATATTCATTTTTAATCATGGGATATATCAACAATGGCTCCAGCCATTTCGAGACACTAGAAAGTAGAACTCTCTAATGAGATTTTTAATTAGTCTTTGTATAATTAAGTCAGTGTAAGCAGCCACAGACAAACTATTAGGGCTCATCAGCATAGCATGGCTGTAACTTGATGAATGAAACAGGCTTATGCATTAATCTTCTTATGAACATCTTTCTAGAGTATAATATTTTTAAAGAGTAAGTAGAGGTTGCTATGGATCATGGGGTATATGATTATGAAATAGATGTGATCATTTTGCAATTCTGTCCTTGGCTTCTTACTTTGACTTTTGGATATCCACAAAGCAGAATTAGAAATCTCTTCAGATGGTTCTTTTTCATAGCATATGAAACACTTAACAGGTAATTCAGATTCACATTGTATATCCCATGATTCCTCACAATGTTTCCTCGCTCTAGATAGATAAAAAAAATAAATTCTTTTGACATGTTATGAAGTAGCTACAGGAGAAAAAAAACATGTAAGCCCAGACATACAGAAAGAAAATATAGCTGTTCCTTTGGACTATGCAGTTGCTAGAAGGCAGTTGGCATTGTAAATGAGACCTAATCTTTGGCAGTCATATCTGCAGCAGAGTCTCCTAAAGCCAAATTTCTGTTCTATATTAGTTCTGAGTCACGCGTCATTGAACGCTCATAATTCTGACAGCTCCTGCCTCTGGCCAAGTATGATTCCAGTCAAAGTTTATTCCAGAATAAAACTGTTTTTATATATATTCTGACATTATTTTAGATTATGAATAAGAGTCTTTCTTGGGGTTAATGCTATTAACTATAAAGAGTGTTTTGTCCTCTGTTATAGAGGTTTTTCAGTTTAAGTCATGCCACCCAATAACATTTTTCTGCATTCTTGCCCCACACTTGCTGATAAGGGACAAAACCTTCACTCTTTGCTGAAAAGAACTTGGGACCACTACTAGCAAGTTCACCTGAGTTGACATAGTCCAGCCTCAACCGTACTGATGGCATGAAAGGGTTGTTTTGCAAGAATAATTATTACTTTCTGTAGTTTTGTCTTTTTGGGTGGCATGGTGGGGCAGTGGTTAGCACTGCTGCCTAGCAGAACTCTCCCAGGGGCAATTTTCAGGATTATAATGTGAATATCAAACTTTTACTCATAAAACCAGATCAAGTTTAAACTTCCGTCTGAAGGCCGAGCTGGGTTAGATTTGTCACAGCTGTTGAATCTCTTGCAGCTGACAGGCCTGTGTCCCAGGGCACCAAGAGAGAGGAGAAGCATGGAGTTTGTCTGTGCTCTCCGTGTTTGTGTAGGTTTCCTCCCAAAGACATACTAGCATGTAAATTGGCTTCTGGGAGAATTGGCCCTGATGTGAATGTGTGTGTTTCTGTGTCTGTGTGTCCTGTGATGGACTGGCATCCCGTCCAGCGTCTGTCCCAACTTGCGCCCTTGCTTGCCGAGATACGCTCCAGCTCCCTTGCAGCCCTTCATTGGATGAAGTAGATAGAAAATGGATGGATGGATTTATCTTTATTTTTAATAGGCTTGACATTCTCAATAGGTTACATCATCTCATCATCTGTTGCCAATCAACTTCCCCAGTAAGGAGGTGATTTAGTGCTTTTGCAAAAGTCACTCCACTGTATCATGGTCTGTCTTGAATGATCAATTAATCATTCTGATGGCAAAGCGTTTAATCATAATCCAAGAACTTTGCACTTTGTTTTTCTAAAAACATGCATGCATGAATAGAGAGCAGAAAGTTCTTTTGATGCTCAGTATGAATTGACTCATTGGTTGGGCAATGTCTCTTAAAGGAGAAGTTTAAGTTGATTGCAAGCTTCTTTTAAAGGGGAGCTGAGTTTGTGGTCCATGATTTACCATCACGCTGAGGAAATACGGTGATTAAATAGTCATCATGCACCTGAACCTTATCAAACCACATGACTGCAATCATTACTATCCAGGTTAGAATTTTAACTTTATTTCAAGATGCCAAGCCAAGGGAGAGTCCTATGGAAACAGAATTCTGACCAAGGGGAGAAATCATGTGATTGCATCGTAATTTTTGGCCAATCAACAAAATGAACACAGTTTAACCTTTTTGTCGACAGCCAGGATATCAGAGTGTATTCAGGAATAGCCTGGGACAAACCAAATTCTCCCCACCTGGCTAATTGCAGCCTGACGCAAGTCAGACGCTGTGCACAGTTTGTTTTAAAAAGCAAAGATCAGCACATAGCAAACGTCCCCGAGGAGCTGTCTTCAGCACCGTGCTAAGCAATGCTCTCCCTCTCTCTGTGTGCCCTGGGGCATGCCTGGCAGCAGACCTGCCAGCTGAAGGAGATTCGAGAGCTGTGACGAACCTAGCCCAGCTCTGTCTTCACAAGGAAGTTAAAACTGGACCAGAAACGCTTGGCCAGCAGTGTTTCTAAATGTAAAAGTTTGACATTCACCTTACATTTTTGAGAGTTAAACTATTATTCCAAATGCATGTCTGAACTGAAAAAGTCTAGATCACAATAGTAAATGAATGTTTACTTGCCTTCGGGAATATAAATGTGTTTAATTATATGAGACTTACAGAGTAGCGAATGACAAATCTAAATGTTAATCCTAATGTTATTAATGCCCATGTAATCCTTAGAGAATGATCAGCCAGTCGTATCAGTATGTAAACCGATCGATTCACATAAAATGCATATTATATCTCTTATGGGTTGCTATGAATGTTTAGGTATTGTATTAAGAAATTATTCATTGTATAGTCGTCTCCTTGATAAAGATGAGCAAAAAAGGCTGTATTAGATAAACAACACGGGTAATGAGCTATATTTTAATTTTCTGACATGGAATATATTTTACTTTTTTAATAATTCAAATCAAATCAACCAAAATTTCACATCTCAGATTATAAATTGGATTCCAAAAATATTAGCACACCGTTTTAAGTACTTTGTTCACCCTCCTCTGGCGAGAATAACAGCAAAGAGCCTTTTTTATAATGTTTTCTGAGATTGGAGAACACATTTGGAGGGATATTACGTTCTTCTATAGAGAATTGTTCCAGATCCCTGAAGTCCAGGCACTTTGTTGGCCTGTGATGCATATTTTGATTTGCAAAATATTGATGTTGTGGTCAGTTAACTTTTTTGTGTGGATTTTAATGTGTGCTTGCTATCATTTTCTTGCTGGAAGATCCATGTGTAGCAAAGTTTAACCTTCATGCAGAGGCAAGCAATAGAACAGTATGTCCTGGCACTTGGTAGAGTTCATGGTGTACTGTAAATAACCTTAATAAGGGCCCTAGGACCAGCAAAACAGTCCCATGACATCAAAGATCCCACACCATTTTCAGAATAGGTATGATGTTCTTTTCTGTATACGCATTAACCTGCTAGAAGGGTGTATGGCTCTATTTCCATCTCATCTGACAACAGTATCTGGTTCCAATCCTAGTCCCAGTGTTATTTAGCATAAAATATTTAGCATAAAAACTTCCTCATCAGTATCAAGGGTGCAAATATTTTTAGAGGTGACTCTATATTTTGAATCTTATTGTGGCGACTGCTTGTTATTCTGTCCTGTTGATTCTAGACACCCTTTTAAGCAAACTCATAATTTACTTTTCCAATTTCTAATTGCTTCAGTAAATCAAAAGCCTCCCATTGTTACCCAGGTATAATGAAAATAGTGCCAATTTTGAAAAGGAATATCCTATTCAATTTTTTTTAAATAGAATTCTCAGGTGATGGAAAAAAGGGTCGGTAATATAAAACCTTTCTATGTATTCACTCAAGCTTTTTACTTCAACTTCACTGGAAATTTGTGGAATAAGCTTGACCAAAGGGATAAAGAGAACTTTTGAATGAGAGATGATGAGTATGCAGTATTAGATAGTGATACACTCTATCTATGTGATGCCTACAGTGTGTGCAGATGTTATTGCTGATGAGGGACAGATTGACATCTCTCAATAGTTTGTTAATTTGTTTGTAACTATGTTGCAGTCAAATTTCCATTTTTTCATTCCCTAACTGTTCACTAAAACTCTGAAGCATGTGTTATTGTGTATGTGCTCCTGAGGTTCATCTGTAAGTTAAGTTTGGTTTTTGGGCTGATTTGTTCTTGATAATATTCTATTTATGTTGCTATCTGAAAAACTAATAAAATATAAGATGCCATCTTTTGCACCTTTTAAATATGTATTTGCAGAGCCTGAAATTGATAAATCGTAGAGAATGAATTTTTAGGGTCTACTTTCAGCAGAGCTGGACAATTATGTATGTGTAGTTCTTGATGACATGTAAATGTTACAGTTTACAGATTTATATTGGACTTTTGAAGAATAGCTTACGTTAACACATCATTAAGTGTCACCATTACCACCAGTTTATTTTTTCCTCACAAATGAAATAAATGAAAAAATAATTAACACTGCAAGAGGCGGCAAATGAGGACGGTTTTGGGTTATCAGTCTCATCCACTCTAAACTATGTCTAAATCCATCACTGTCAGGCAGAAATCTAAATCGGTTCTGCTCTGTCACTAAAATAATTTATATAGACAGTTGTTTGGCTTAAAGACACATTTTTAATTATTCTTGCACACATAAAAAAAAATCAAATTAATCCTTGTTAATCAGTTAATTACAGGTTCTTGCTTTGCTTGTGATTTTTTTTTTTGTTGAAGATTACTGTGTACTTGACAAAACCTGATCAATTAAATACCTTTTGTAATGGTTTTAGTTCTTAGGTTGCTTTTTTTCATTTAGCCTGTATATTACTTTACCCTTTTATTTACCTTTTCAGATATTTTCAGATGTCTTGTAAATGTTCCTTCAATACTGAGTCACTTTGGATTATCCGAGATACCTAACCTTTTATTTTCTTGACATCTCTAGGGCTGCAATTATCACCAAATCCCCTAGGTGCACAGATTATAATAGAAGTCCCCTGATAGCTATAATACGGATGAGTGCCTCAATATATAGTATTGACATAAAATAAACTCTTAAATTGCACCACAGAAGCATTTAATAAAACCAAACAACAAAGCACGAAGCGTGTTTTAACAGATAAGAGTGTACAATCACAATTCATAAAGAAGCTTTTATAAGCACTGGATTTCTTTGATCAAGTTTTTCCAAAAAAAACCCTGGCAATTTTATTTTACTAATACCTCACATCTGTTAGCTGTATAATTTGATGCACATTGAGTATCTTTGCTGCTGGACTTTTGTATTGCTTATCTTTCTGTGAGAAACAAGCGCACACATAAAATATTTGTAGTCCTTATAAATGTGTAACATTACATTTACAGATGTAAATTGCTTGTATTGGCCAAAATCGGTAACTGTAACCCCAGCGAGTAAAGAGTGACTAATCAGCCAATGGATCTCATTAATCTTAGAAAACCCTTTAGATGAGCTAATTAAAATTTTAAAGCTTAAACTTTGTTCCTAATTTTATTTTGTCAGAGCTTAATTGGTTCTGCTTCTTATTTCATGATGAGTAAGGTTGAAGTGATCAGTTAGTCTAGCAGGCAGCTCTTAAGATTGTGAAACTAGAGTGCTCGTGCTTTATTTTTAAATCCCATGTTGATGGCAACCTTTCTCATTAATAACCTTGCCAAGTGACAATAAGTCATCAGACACCTAGCCTGGAGACTGGTTTGAATACTGGCAGTTCATTTAAAATGTGAATGCAAAGATTTTCTTTCACTTTGACCACCTGAGCTTATTGATACTGTATGTGTGCTGTGGACAATTACTTCTGAAATTCTTGTGAAACTTTTCCTTTTCTCTGACTTTTTAACATGAAGTGTTCACAGCAGAGAAGGCAATACTGAGTCACTTGTAGAGGGAACAGGTTTTTAAGCACATTGGCACTACACCCAGGCAAATCACATACAGTAATAAAACAAGGGGCTGGTGATAAAACCCTTTATGCTTCTAAGTGGTAATACACAGAGCAGCAGGCAGTAACATTTCGGCAACATATACAAAACTTTTGTGCTGTACTAAGCTGAAATACATTTGGTGCTGCTGTCCAACAATGGAATGACAATGAACAATGTGTTCTCATTGTGTTTTGTTGCTTGTTTCTAACACGGGTCATTGAAAGTCGGTCTTCATGTTCATGACCTTTGTCTGGTTTGAAAAGCCTGGCGCTGAATGCCGGTGCGAGTGCAGGTGAAAGCTGCCACTTTTTGTAGTTGTGAATGTTATTTTGTGCACTACAGCAAACACAAAAGGCTGCTGTGCCTCTACCGTTCCGCACTAGCGTGGCTCTGCTTAGTTTGTCATGTGCCAAACCCATCTGTGCTACTGTTGGTGGACCAAATCGATTTCAAGCAAAAACATACACTTCAAACTTGTTGCAATTATTTTTTAGCAAAACGTGAACATGTTTTAATTATACTTGAACCAGACTTAATTCTCTGTAGGGTGTAGGGAATACAAGGTGAATGATACATTATTTAAAGCATTATATTGTAAGTATTTAGTCCCTTTAATAGTTTTCAAATGCTGCTGGATAACAAATGATACCTTCACATTCTTTTCCAATCCGTATTTATATTGCCAACTCGCATGCTCAAAGACAGAACACTTTTAATAAGAAAATTAGTTATCAGCAAATATTTAAAAGAAATTCAAAAACTGAATGTGCTGTTTGCATAGGTATTCAGACAACTTTGGTTGGTAACTTTCCGAATTTGATATCATCTGGAAACATGTCTTCCATAACATGTATCCATTACTATTGTTACTTTTTCATAGTTTTCAACCATTTGCTACAATATTAATTCCATATAGCCACAAGTTTGATAAAGTTTGGTTATAAGAGTGCATCGTTTTGGGTGGTGTGTAATTTTTCAACCATTTATACCATCATTTACAGCATATCAATAGATTGTTTATAGACAGTTAATAACATTAGGTATCTATTAATGCTTTACACTGCTACTGACAGAGTGAAATTCTTACATTTATTTCCTGTGCAAAATCTTACTTTCATCTTTATCTTGTGGTTGTCCTTCTTTAGCTCTGCCCACACCCTGCAGCTTTCCTCTGGAGAAGAGGTCTCCACCAGTGTGTCAGTCCAGCTCTTCAATGGAGAGACCCAGCAACTCATCATCAAACTAGAGAACATTGGCACAGAACTTCTGGAGTCATTGGAGATTACTTCAAAGACTGTCAATACTAAAGGTAGGAAAGGTCTTTCAGGTTGATCTAAATATATTAACTGGTTGACAAATGAGATTAAATGTTAGACCATTTGTGTTTCTGTGTTGTTTGCTATTTGACTCAGAAGCTTACTACAGTTTTAATTTTATGTTTAATCCTTTGTGCTAGGACTTCTTGGGCAGGTTTTAAAGTCCCGTTTCAAATTCATCCAACCTTGTTCCTCACAGTCAGTTGGTACAGTAGTTTGATAATGTTGATCACAATGGCATCAATATTGTGGGGAGTGTAATCTTGGTAACGCTTAAAATGTGACAACTGAATTTTGTCCTTCATTAAAATGCTATATAAATAGGTGCACATTTCTACACTTTGGGTAACAGTGTCAGGAAAAATAAATTAATACGTGTTATAAAAGCTTGTTGGAACCTTCTGAGTAGCTCAGTGTACAGGGGCCATTCACATAACTTTGTGTTAAAGGTTTTTAGAAACAAGATAGTTTCTCAGTATAATCAACCTTCATTTCAGTAAGCCTAATTATCCATCAAGCTTCCAGTTCCCTATTAATCTCATTCTTCTGACTGCTCCTTTAAATGCTCGTGAATGGTATATTTAAAAAAACATCCATAACATCAGACTGTGTACCATGGAATGCAAAGATCTAATGTCAGAACAACTAATAACCATTAATATCTCAGTCTGGGCTGTAATGTGGATGATTTAACTGTTTAACTTACAGACTTAGACTGACAAATGAAAGCATGTGTAGCTCTAGGCTTGTGAACTGGGATGTAGTCATGCACTGATTGAACATCAGGTGTCAACATCCCCTGCTGTGTTTCTACAGTTTGACAATCTTACAAAACTGGGGCTGTACTCGATTATCTGGGGTTGTAAAGTACTTCTGGCATGTAATCAATTATCATTACCCCTTTTGAGTTCCAAAATATTTTACCATAATCGTATGTGCTGGGGCTAGGTGGTATCATTTCTCTAGGGGTGGAAACAGAGCTTTGAATTGTCTTGGTCAAAGTGAACTCATGTCTCATCACTAGGAACAAGATGAGAGACAACTCCTTAGTAAATTTTCAGATGGCAGGCTTGTGAGCTGGGTGTTCAGATGTTTTGAGAAAATGTGGCAGAAACTTTTGATATGCAAAATTGTCCATGGGTTAGGGTTATAATGTTTCCAACATAAATGCAAAATCTTCGTACCTGTCACTGAGCAGTCGGATATTATGATGATTTCAACAGCAACGTTATTAGTCCTGAACTGTTTGTGTCCGAGACTCATACAGACTTGAGAGACATCTTCAGTTCTTTCCATTCTTTGTGTTCACCCTTGTTTATCATGTTACTGTGGGATAATGAATTTACTTTGCAGTTTCTTACAAATGTGTGACAAGTGCTTGTGGGCCAGGGTTTGAAAACGTGTTTTATGGCGATATTGGAAACTACAAAATGGAATTTGTTGTCTTCAAATACAAACATGAAAATTGAACTGTACAGTATGTATAATTGTAACATAAATGTTAAAAACCTGCTGTTTTTTTAATGAAAATCAAAGGCAGTAAATGTGGAGATACAAGAATCAGACACTAAGTTACTAGAACCAATTCAAATGTACTCTTTTTGCTTTTTTAATTATACCTGTAAGCTACAGTATAATGTGATGTTATAGATATCATCTCTTTTTGTACCTTTAGTATATTATCAGATCATTTGGGTCCTGTAAATATTATAATAATATAATGCAATATTATTAGATGAATATAAGAAAATTATTATTATTTGGGGCGCTGTAAATGCAATATTACACTGCAATAGAAGTTTTCACTTTCACAGACTCAGTACTTTGCACAAAAAACTATAATATACAATTGAAAACAGTGATAAAAAGTTACCTAAAGGAATAATGCATATAAGCTTGTGTTTAAAACCAAAATTTTGCTATCTAGGTACAGTAGGTTATACCTTAATGATGCCCTAAACAAATTATATGTTCCTTTGAAAAACAACTGATAAATTTGATGTTGGATATTTTAAAAATAAAAACAAGGTCAACCAGAACAGTGCCAGTCAATCAGGTGTTTCTCCCCTCAGATGGTGACAAAAACAGTATGCCAACTTTTTACTGAGGGCTGCGTAAAAACTCCTGCGGCGTTTGGCAGGGTTGTTGAAACAGATTATGTCTGTAGACATTTGGACCTTTCAGCAGATCCTGTAGAGCAGCAGGTAAATCACAGGTACTGTATCGAGAGTCTTAAGTTTGAATGATGGAATAATTTTGTATTTTTCTTTTTTTTTTGCTGAGACATACACACTTCAAAAACACAATCCATCGGATACAACATGACAGTATATGAATGATTAGGTACCAGAGTTTTTTGTTTCACGTTTTACCTAGGGATATTTGGATCTGAGTATCTGAAGTGGAAATAATCAGCCTCAGTCATACCCTGAAAAGTGGAACACTGAGAGCTGTATATAGAAATTGACAGCAATTACTGTCCATCTCAAAATCCACCTTTCAATAATGCACATAAACCGCTAAACTTTTTTGAACACCCCTCTTCCACGTTCTTGGTTTTTGTTTTGGCTGCAGGTTGAGTCCTGTAGTCAGACATTGCTGCATTAAATCTGTTCTCCTTTGTCACATGACTCTAGCTGAGATTCCCCAAGTGGTGGAACACCGTTGTTTGAATGCAGGCGAGGTTGTGTAAGCATGACTCAGACAGAGTATCCCATTTTCTCATGGTTTCTTGGGCTCCTGTGAGCTGGCATGATGTTGTCGGCAGGAGTTGTGTCATTCATCCAACTGCTGTTTGCACTGTAGGATTTACAGGCTGAAAAGACACAGTTAACTCTCTCAAGGACATGTTTTTCCCTTTTCCGTCTGTGCTGGTAGAAGTGGAGATTCTAGTTTGATGGATTATAGAAAGAAAAGCTAATCCTATCCTAAATATCAAGACCTTTCAAGCTAAACTGTCTACTCATCATGCACAGTAATAGAACCTTTATTGTTTCAGCCATATTGCACAACAGATTATAAAAAAAAAAAAACTTGAGCTCACCCAGTGTCTTATTAATGGTTGGAAAAAGTAACTACAAACCTAAGGGAAAACATAACCTTTAGGATTATCTTTTGGTGAATTTGGACTATTGTATCTACTATATCTTGGACTGACTGCTTTTTGATGATGACCTTTTTTAATGCACTCTAAAATATCCTTTTCTCTTCGTGTGGCTTGTTTCTGGTGTCTTTTTCTCTGTCCCAGTGGCTTGCCTGGAGGTCACTGGTCACTGCTTTGGTTTCTTGCCTTCTGCACTGGCAGTCCTTCATGCTTGCCCGCGCCTTTTCATTCTGAGTTACCTCACATTGCTCAACACCTGCTCTCCCTCGGTTCTTCTCCAGATCTCTGCGGCTCTCCCTCTTCTTCCATCTGACTACAGCAATATGCCACAAGATGCGAGAAGCTTGTCCACATTTAAATTTAAATCAAGACTCATCCAGTTGCAGAGATAAAATGTTAATTTTTTTGTCTCTAAACGGCTTCGGATTTAGATTGATTTTGTTACCAGTCCTCTATCGTTTTCCCCCAGTGTCTAAAACCTGAAATAAAGTGTTTTTTCCATGCATTTGACGTCTATCTGAAATGTGTATTTGTCATATCCACTCTTGTTGTCAAAGTGTTTTATTGGCTGCATATACTTTTCTGGGTTTGAAGAAAACCGTTGTGTGTGCAGAATATCGTTATAATATACAAAAATATACTTATGTACTTGTTCTTGATACTCATTTCTTTTGATTTATGTGTTAGATTTGTTTTCCATATGATACAGTATACCTTTATCAGATGTTCACTTTAAGATAAGCACTGCCTAAAATGGTGGCAGTGTACAGCAGTATGCTTTAGAAACCTTCTGACAGGAGGGTTGAGGGATCAAATAGCAGGTAGGGACACTGTTACTGTGTCTTTGAGCAAGGTTTGTTGCCGAGATCGCTCTAGCATTCCCATCAGATGAAGTGATTCCAAATAAATAAATCTGAATGTAAAACAAAATTTTTTTTAAAAAGTTAAGGCCTGAAAGTCTGCCAAATAAATGCATGACCAAGTTCAGGATTACAACAGCTTCAGTGAGTAAATACTGGAGACTGTTTACTGCATTCTCAAGCAGAGTAAAAGCTATACTTTAATATTTTAAGGCTTTGTAAGGCTCTTGTGAATGCACCAGCTTGGAAAATGTTAAAATATAACTGCATGAGCTACAGAGTTATAGAAACTATGGCATAAAATATTTTTATTCTGTGCATGTCCAGACATCATTTAACTTTGATAACGGTTTGATCTATGATGTTGCAGACCTACTTGCATTGAAAAGTAACTATACACGAATTGTAAAATGAAAAACTTCATATGCTGTCCATACGGTACATCTGCAGCAGCATTTACAGCATTTGCCCACAACATAATGTGGCTATGAGTTTTCTCCACATACAGATGTACATCATGTTTAGTACTGACAATGCTTTTTAATGTTCTTTTGTAAAGCGTGATGGGCTGGGGATTCTTCAGTAAAAAAGCTTTTAGTGGATTATTTGCCAATATACTGTTGTTTTTTTTGAAGTTATCTTTTGCTTAACCTTTGAAATCTTTGGGCCCAGGATTTTTTTGGGTGTTCCACTAAACTTCTTTCAGTCGTATAGCTGGATATCAGAGCAACTCGCTTGCTATGAAGACATGGTTGAATGAACTGGCAAGATTGTTCTTGTAAATGAAAAGGTTTATCAAGGATAAGAGAATTGCCCTAATTAATGCTTACTGTGCTTGAATGTGAAAAATGTCTGCTCATTAACAAAAAGCAATTGATGCTCTGACAGGCATAAGTAAGTATCATGTGTAGTTTCATCTCATCTAAATTATGAACTTTAAAAAAAAACATATAGCATTGTCATATGTGTTCTAATTTGGTTACGAACTGTGTAAGAAAATAACTGAGGTAAGGCTGGAGACTTAAGACTG